TCAAATCAACGGGTGCAAATACAGACCTGATAAACACCCTCCCACAATGCTCAAATCACGAGCGTCATTCACCTCGGCCCTTGAACTTCTTTATTCAACCACCCTGATCTTCTCTCACCTGGCTTTCTTCAAGCCTATCAAAGCTTCCGATGATCATGATTACAGCACTATTATCGGCTTGGGGAGTACTTCTGTGTCTCCTAAAGACCATGGCAGCAGGGAGTTGCTCCTGAAGGCGCGGCTCTTCACTACCACAAGTCTGCTCTTCTTTTCTCAACAAGACTGCCGGCTTATTGCGCCTCTTTATCAGATTTATGCACGACGTACAGCTGCGTCGGCGTGGTGCAGAACGGCAAAGTCGAGATCATCATCAACGGCAGAGTGACCGGACTACGCCTTCCGAAGCACAAGCTTATAGGAACTGCGGCGGCAGTGCCCTTTTACCTAGGCCGGTTGATTGCATCACAAATAGTAAAATTTACAGCCATCATTGCTGAATCAATTCCTAGTAGGATCCATTCAGTTGTACAATCAAGGCATCCAACCCGTCAAGGCTGTACCTTGAATTAAGCTGCCCCTCGAAAGACCTGTTTACCATTAGAATTCTTGTATTTATGGACGGGTATTATTTATGCCAATACACAATTTTTACGGTACAATGCAATGCTCCGGACATGTTGCATGCCTAATATAACAATCTCAAACTCAATCCCAAGTGCTAATATGCAAAAACCACGCCACTTGCAGCCGCTTTAAAATTTGGGGGCATTCAGGAACAGGCCCATGAGAACACCACCAAGAGTGCCAGCAATGGGGATGGTCATGATCCAGGAGAAGAGCAAAAGCCCCACTCGCTGAAAGTTGACGGCCTTGAGGGTTCCGTTGCAAAGACCGACGCCGACAGTAGCACCGGTAATGCACATGGAAGTAGATACGGGAAGGGAGAATTGAGAAAAGACCAGGACGGTGATGGCGGCGCCCATCTCCATGGAGCTTCCACGGCTTGGAGAGTGGTAGGTGATCTTGTTGCCCATGACTATGCCAAAACGTCAGCAGCTGATTGTTTTGTTCGTTTCAAAAATGGGACTACGCGCATGGCTGTATAGACTTACCCTTCATGATGTTGTAACCGTATGTGATGAGGCCAACGGAAATGGTGGCAGAGAGCACAGCGAGCTGCCAGACGTCGACGGGAGCCTTGGCCTGGGCAGCATTGCCCGTCTTCCAGGCACCATAAATGACAGCCCAGGGACCGACAGAGTTGCCAATGTCGTTGGCGCCGTGAGCAAAGGAAGCGGTGCAGGCAGTAAGGACCTGAACAAACGAATAGGTATGCTCGACTTCGTTGGGGTACTTTTCAGCGGCAGCGTAGACGCGCTTCATGCGTTCGCCTTCAGGGGTGCCCTCAATGCCGGTCTGGGCGGCGTGGATATCATAGTGAAGACCGTACAAGAGACCAGAAACAACCATGGCAGGAATGCGCTTGGCAAGGATCTTGATGTTGTGCAATTCGTAGATCTGACCAGCGCCCATGGGGTTGTCGCGTAGGGTTCGCATGGCCCAGCCGAGGGGCCCACGCTTCTTCATCAGGCGAGCGTTGAATCGGGCCTCACCCTCAGCAACGAGCTCTTTGTAAGACTTTTGGGTGGCCTCAAGGTTGGCTAGGCTCTTCTCGTTGCTCCCCTTGGTGGCCTCGGACGTGGACATGATGCCATGCTCCTTGCCCTGTCCATCCTCGACCGTCAGCTTGGGAGAGTGGGTGGCAGACTCTTCAAGGTCGTCGTCATGCTGAACAACGGCGTAGTTGGGGACATTAGCGCGTTCGGCATTCTCAGGCGCAGGGCGCTTAAAGAGCAGGGGGCCAAAGATGAAGTGCCACCACTGAATAGTTGGATCCTTCTTGATGACCTTGGCATGGACAAAGGGTACGAAAAAGATGGCGGCGAGAATCGCCACGCCACCACCAGTGCCCAGAGTCACTGCGGCAATATACCAGGCGGGTTTCTTGCCAAGACCCAGATTGGGTGAGCCTTTATAAACAATCGAGAGGGTGCAGATGGTGGCGGCAATAAGGAAGAAGAAGGGAGAGGTGTAGACAGCCCAGGGAACGGGATTCTTGCGCATATGGACAACCAACTTGACAAGCATGAAGATGGTAGCAGCAAAACCGCCAGAGATGACCGGGGCCATGCCTAGACCAGCAAAGATGGCGCCGAGACCCTTTCCGTCATTCCAACCCCATTGAACCTTGGAGGCGCCGACAGTAGCAACGCCAACACCAGCAACGGCAGAGATTAACGAGTAAGTGGAGGAGACGTGAGCTGAGTGACGCGTGCACCACATGACCCAAGACGAAGCGGCGGCAAGAGCGCAAGTAAAAGCAAGCATCTGAACACCAGCATTGTTCTGGAAGGCCGAGTTGGGAATAATGCCGTTCTTGATTGTTTCAGCAGTACGGGCGCCGACGGTGATGGCGCCAAGCATTTCGAAGACGGTACCGAAAATCATGGCCTGTCTATAGGAGATGGATCTCGAGGAAACACTCGTGGCCCAAGAGTTGGCCACATCATCTGCCAAGAGAAGAAGAAGCATGGTTAGCTGGACGGGACCCCTACAGATGAAGAAACCATCGCCAAGACGGTAGTAGAGTAGCGTGGATCTGATCTTGGTCTGGGGGGGCTTGGCTTTTCGGTTTGTTTTGCGGAGTAGTACTCACTTGCGCCATTGTTGAAGGCATCAAGCAGGGCAAAGAAGGTGCCAATGGCAAAGACGTAGTCGTATTGGTGAAGAGTCATCTTGGAGAGACGTCGGGAGTAATCTCTGGCGCCGTCTTGGATGATACAACGGAACTGGATTTCTTCTTTTATTTGAGACAGACCAGCACGGGCGCGGCTGGCCTTTTATGCCATCTGACTGATCATTTTGAGCGAGAAAAACCGGCAGGGCTCTCCGTCGTGGCGGCCAGGCTGACCATGCTCTTTTGTCATTTCCTCTCCAGCTGGCCGCCCCCGGCTTCCTGGCCGAGGCGTGAATGCGAACTGAACAAGCCCCAAACACGATGAGGCATTCGATTAGGACCAGCCAAGATTCATTCATCCCGTTGTGTTAAGGTTGTTGTGTGGCGTGTAAGCTTAACAATAACAGTGACAGGGGTTGAAACTTGATGCAGGGTGGCATCCCAAACAGAAACCATTGTTGTACACATACGTACATGACTTCCTATCAGATTCCCCAGACCTTACACGTGCGAGCAGGCCAACATCACAGCGGAACCTCCCCTGTTGGGTAGGTCGAGGAAACAGGGGCTGAGACGCCACACGAGCCATTCCATGTCCAATAGATTGGCTCTGCATCCTGGCCGAGGCTGCACACTTCCGGTGATCTAGCCAGAGGAGGAGACCGAACCGTGGGGGCCATGCTCGTGGAAATAAGACAGCCATCAACGAAAAGTCGTCAAGTTGGCACACGTGCGAACCTGCCCAAAGCGAGTCCAGACGGACATGTTCTTTCGGCCAGCTCCCTCAAGTGGCCATGACAGTTGGACAGAATGGCTCACGCATGGTTCTCGCCAAGACCACTCGAGGCCAAGTCTCGGCTGAGAGCAGATGCGTCTCGGTGCCCCATCGTACAAAAGGACCGTTAAGCACATAAAAGTGGCTTCAGACCTGGTGTGTTGGCGTTACGAGAAGAAACATTGACTCCAATCAGCAAGAAGTGCAATGACATCTAGTTTGTGACGCTTGCGCTCATCGCAGGAACCGAATATAACCCATCACAGTAGGGCCGTTGAAAGGTTCTGTTGCTCATCCGTGGTCCAGGTAATCAGACTACCGGCAAGTGGCAAGGGTGACGTCCCGTTCTGTTGAAGGGTTCAATGCTTTCTTGGTACTGGGATTCTTTCGGTGGTTGGCGAAAACAAAAGAAGAAAAGGAAGTCTCGTCGAAGCTCAGTGTCGAAATGTCCACGCATGGCTTCCAGGTGGGGTAGTTGTGTCGCTGGGTATCACCGTGAGTCTGCCCAGGAAGGGTGCAACCATGTTGATGAGCTTATTTCAACGGGGGCAAAACTGGAGCAGGACTGTCAGAAGATGGGCCGAAAAGACGGGGCAGAGCTTGGGAGGGTGCATGAGGGCCTTTTTGCTTGCAGCGAGAATTTCGCCTGCAGCGCTTGTCACGATGCGAAGCACGTGGTGGGGCATGGTTAGCCCTCACCTGTCAAGATGCCTGCAGCCTTCAACACCGAACGGCAGTGTTGTGAATCATGATAATGTCAAGTATAAAATTACTTGATCATCGGGCCGATGCAACAATTCTGTCTCCTCGTGCTGAAGAGAAGGACTTCGAAAATAAAGATATGGGCACTATATGTATCAATGGCTTACAGAATCATAAATGCTGTTGCTACACTCGCTCAACAACACCCGTTTCCCTCCATCCTACCGTTTACTACGCGCATTTGGCTTGTGCTCGAGCACGGGCCCACGAAAACATTGCCATTGGCGAAGGAATTAGGGCTAGTACCAATCCATCGCGATATAGGGTGTGGTATTCATAAAGGGAAAATGTCATGAAGACGGTGGTCCGAAAATATTCATGACTTTCGTTCAAACCTTTAATGTCGAGAAAACCAGCCATGCAATAATGTCGATGAGGTGCGGGCCGTGTGGCAGAACACCAAAACATTGGGCGTAGTGGTTGGAGGCCTACATATTGAGCAAGACCTGACACCAGGGTGTTTAGTGGTCCGACACCGCTTGCCAACCTTTGCCTATAAGCGCTTTTTTCTAGAAAACTAGTAAGGTTTACAGGCGCGCGTAAAACGCCACCAATCCACTAAAATGGTCGACGCTCAAAGCCGCACGCTTCAAACCTCGGCCCAAAAACTCGCAGCGCCCGCTTCCACATCATTATAAACGCAGAATACGTCACGCGCCAATCGTCAGGCGTGTATATCGTTTCAATTCCTCACCAAATCAAGGCCTACAAGTCGCACTGGTCGTCATGTCCTGTACAGACTCTGCAAACGCACCCTCTCTTCTCCTCCTACCTTCGCCGCCAGACCCCGCAACCCCAGACGCAGTTCGAGCTGCTTACCGACGTCCCCTGGAAGCCGTCATCTCTCGACTAAGCCATGAAAATAGGCCAAATGCTCCTCGAGATATAGCACCCGTGCTAGTCGTTGCTGTCGCGTCACCAGTCCTAACCAGAGGGAATCCCGCGGCAACAAGCGGGCACGATGCGCGATCCGTAGATTGGGCACCTTCTCAATCTCTCCTGGCCGATTTGTACTCGTTGGTGGCAGTAATTTGCGCTGAAAAGTCAATTGCCACCGATTTGGAAGCCGACGACCCTGGTGCCGTCGATGTTCGACTGCTTCTCATTGACCACGATCAATCATCTCCTTCACACTACCGGCCGGGGCCGAATGGATGCTACGAGGCAAACAACACGACTGTTTTGGACTTGGCGGCGTTTGCCTCGTTGGTTCATCCGTGGAGGCACATATTCCATCCCAGCAGTGAGGCGGGCTATCAGCTGCACGCTGCTTATCTGAAGTACGCTGAAGGAAAGCAGAGGTTCCTTCAGAGTCAACTCGTAGCCGTTGACGGTGGTCTGACCTTGTCACAACCCGCCTCCTCACAAGGAACCGCAAACGACGCGGCTTCTGTGTCTGGGCCAAGTACATCCCGGCAACCGAAGCATTCCGCCAAAAGCTACACCACGGTGTGCCTCGGCGGGACATTCGACCATTTACATCCTGGTCACAAATTGTTTCTCCACGCTGCCATTCTCTTGTTAAATCTCCAAGACAATCCATCGGGTAAAGAGCCGCCATGTGAACTGGTAGTTGGCATCTCCAGCGACGAGTTGCTCGCCAAGAAAAAGTACGCCGACCAGCTTCAGTCGTGGGACGTTCGTTCTCGCTCCGTCATCAACTTCCTCTCCACACTTCTGAATTGGTCTACCACATCGGCGACGGCCATGAAGGCTGTGCAGGCCGAAACCAAGGAATTGCACGCCACCTTCCGAAACGGCCGCATTTTGGTGCGGTGCGTAGACTTCCACGACCTCTATGGGCCCACGGTCAAACAAGAGTCTATTCAGGCACTCGTCGTCTCTGGAGAGACTCGCAGTGGTGGCCAAGCTGTCAATGACAAGAGACACAGCCAAGGCTGGCCAATTCTAGACATCTACGAAATCGACGTTCTGGATGCCGGCATTGGTCCCGTAGAGGGTGGCAACGGCAACACGGCGGCTGGTGGCAACTTTGAAAGCAAAATCAGCAGCACCGAGATTCGGAAACAAAAGGCGCAAAGGCTTTCAGATTCTCGTTGAATGAAGCAAGGGGAGTGTTTCGTACAGTGGTAGTCGCTGCTGGCACCTCTACGGCGCAAGCGTCATTTTGAGCAACATGGAATATAAAATGCGTTCCACAGGCCACTATCTGCTAGGGGACCGACTGCTGGGGTTGTTCAAAGCATCTGTGCGCGGTCTTGGCGCTGAGAACTACGATCCGCTGAGACTGCGAGTAGCACGCTCCATGGGTGGTTTTTTCCTTGTCTCGGGCAGTTTTCAGATATACCACTGTTGGTGGCACCAGCTTTGCAATTTCAGAAAGCTGGCATGCGGCCACATCAGTTAACCTCGGAAGGTATTAAGATGCCATAAAGGCCAAGCCCCCCGTTTTTGTCTTTGGAAGCTTGATCCCATTAGATAATGTGCGGCCTTGACTTTGAAGACGAAGCAGTCTCGCGGGGTCAAGCAGGCAACTGTGTTTCTTTTGCCCCGTTTCTTTTGCCCGTGCTATTTTGACGCAAATCCCAAGCTCGCCGTCTATGTCCACAGAGAGAGGCATGCGGGTAAAGGGATCTCTCTCACCAGATCTTGCACTTTGTAGGGTCATGTCTCTCCAACATTGACCCCCCCACCTAGCTTGTCTACGGCGCTGAACTCCTTCTGATCTATACTTTGGTTTGTGGCCCATGGCTCGTTAGGAAACTGGCGAAGATCTCCGGGTTAAAAGTTGCGCCCACGTGCCAATGTAAACAAAGAACTGTGACGCTAAAACTACAACGATGACCTCAGTTGATACGAGAGAGAATAACATGGTCCGATGCGCCGGGAAATAATCATATACTAAGGAGGGAGAAGGGCGGTCTGTTTGTTTGTAGTGCTAAAAGGGTTATGCATGTCCCAGAGACAAAAGTGCAGCGGGATGTCGAGGTACGAACGAAGATTGTGAGAAAGCTTTCGACGAGTGTCGAGTCGATTCAATGACAAGAAATTTTTTTTTCAGACGAGATGATTGGTGAATGCAAATTGCAAGACGTAGATGCATTGTGACAGCGGATATGGCTGACGAATATGAGCCTTGTGGCAGAGAGGATAGAGAGAAAGGGGAAGCGACAGACGAGGCAGATATGATGGTTGGTTCCAGCACGCACTCTGTGCATTCCGCGTTGGTCCTTCCTCGCTGGCGTCAGTTTCATGAGGAAAGGCAAATGGGGCCCAGTACCTACACCGAAATTGCCACGACGTTGGCAATCTACATCTGCCAAGTCGGGATTTCGGATCCCAGACGGCCTCTCTTGGTTTCTCTCCATTCCCCAGCCTTGCAGTACTGGACAACTTGGCGACGCAGATGGCCTAAATATAGCAACAGCCTCCAATGTGACATTGGTGCTCTGTGCAAATTGGAACCTGGCAGTTTGGCAGCTGTGGGGTCCATCAACGTGACGCTAGTCTCTCCTCAGCGTGCTTGGCGGGTGTTTAATAAACGCGCGCTTACACCGGGCCAATCCTGTGCCCGCATTTCGCAAACACTCGCCACTTCTCACGCTCAACTGTCCAACATGCACCTCCCGCAGTAGACATCACTACACGGCTCCATGAAAGATGCCGTATGCTCCCAGGTGCTCCTTTTTATGTAGAGAACAGAGCCAGCGTCGACTGGCCCCCACTGGAGCTTGCCCGCCTCTCTTTCCATTCGCCGAGTCCCTCGCCTGGCATTCTTCACCAACGTGCTCGCCCATCGTCGACAGCTTTAAGCGCCTTTCACATTCGAGCTATGACATAAGCCTCCACCATGAACCTTGTTCTTCATCCCCTCTCTTCTCATCTATGTTATTTACAGCAGTTGCCTAAGCTCCTTTCGGCCGCGGTATGCAGCCTTCCCTAGAAGGGGCGTCGGGGTGATGCAATGTCCGCTCCTCCAATTTCCAGGCGCCCAGCTCTCGATGCTATTTTGGAGAACCTTCGTTAGGTGCTGTCTGTACTCGAAGAAGAAGAGTTTTGCCGGCTTTGGCTGTTTTGGTGTCCCCAGCCGTGCCTGGAAACCGACTGCCATGGTGTCTTCACCATGTTCTTCGGTAACCGCGTTATATCCCCACCGCCCAGGGGAATACATTACCTTTTCCTGCGTGCCATCTACTCTAGCCGCGTGTCGAAGTTCCTCCACGACATGCCAGGAGTTCCTTATCTTTCTCGAACAGTCCTCGAGCCACAGTTCCTGGCCTGGGGTCCTAAACGCCACCTCCTCGATTCTGTAGCCGCCAGGCCGCCTCGAAACTTCCCTTTCGGCCAATGTTATCGACCCATTTCTGAACAAGTCGACTCTTTAGACACAGAAAGCTCGTTTCACTTCCATTTTCGTCTTGCGGGTTTCGTTTCATCTCTAGAGCCGCTCATGGTGGCATTGGCCTTCATCTTTTCCCGGGCAGGGTCATGAGGCTCGTTGTCGTCTCAAGATCTTAAAGCTGCTTCATGTCCCTCCTTGAGGCCAGGCCAATTTGTTTCGTTTCTTTATCCAAGTTCATCAGCCTTCCTTACAAGGCTCTCTTGTCTTCCTTGGCATTTTTATTTCCCTTTTCCTAATCCATTGCCTGATCTGGTCTCCATCCCTCCACCCTTCGTTCCTCTTTCGCTCGACAGCGCCTCTTCATTGGGCTCTGTCTTTCCGCAAGTCTCTCGTTCATCGACCAATTCGGCTCATTTCTCTTTTCGCTTTTTTTTTATAGAGAGCTGTGTCCTGTGCTGCAGGGAAGCACATGTGCAACTATACAACTTCCTCACTGTCTGGCCTTAATCGATAGTGTCAACATCGAATCGACTGTTGATCATCACTCACAGAGCTGGTCTCTTTGGACTACCCGGCAATTCCCCTTGAATTGAATTGACTCGCTCTTTTTTTCTGCCTTGGTTCATCTCAATATACTATTCAAATCCTTAGACAGACATCATAATGCCTAAACATCATCGAAATGCCAGTGGATCTCACCACTATGCGAATCAACTCTCGGCTGCCATGGCCACCACTCCCATGTACGCACAGCAGCCTGCGCGTATTCAAGTCCCGGCCAACTATTACACGATTCCGCCCGGTCCAGACTCGACCCCGATGCAGATGCCAGCGTCTCAGCAAGAGCCATACGACGCCTACGCGGCTGAAGCAAGTGCTCTTCCGCCATCCCAGCACCGAGCCTCATCTGGAGCTTGGAGCACGATTGACGACAACAGACTCGTCCAAGCCAGAGCACAAGGTCTGAACTGGGGGCAAATCAAGGACGCGCATTTCCCTACCAAGAGTGCCAATGCATGTCGCAAGCGCCATGAGCGCCTGATGGAGCGCAAGGGCGCAGATGACTGGGACACGCGAAAGTTCCAGCAGCTGGCGAAAGAATACATGGGCATGCGAAAGGAGATCTGGAGCGGGCTAGCTGCTCGAACTGGTGAAAAATGGAACGTGGTTGAATCCAAGGTAAGGCTCCAACAACTGCTTAAATCCCATCATGTGTATACATGTACACATATCCACAACACCCTCGCAGCGGGAAGCCGCCCCTCTATTAATGACGATATTATAAACTTGCGCGCTAACCATATGCCTCCTCTCTACTTTATTGCCATGTAGTGCATGTCAAATGGCTTGAAGAATCTACAAGCCGCGGCTCGGCAGGCTTCGCGCCGCGAACGCCTTGAGACTGGCTCTCACATCACAGGGTATGACGACGACAGCGGCATTTCCGGCATCGGCCTGACTCCTGTTGATGAACTAGACGCATCCTACAGCAGTCCTGAGACGAGCTCCTCGATCGGCGCGACGCACTCCTTCTCCTCCAACTCGGCGGCCGCCTACCACCTCCAGGGCCACGCAGCGACGCACACGCATCTACACCCCGTCGGCGGCGGCGGCGACCAGACATCCTACGGCCTCGGCGCATACGGTGCCTCCTACGGCGGCCACCACGAGTACTCGTCCAGCGCAGGCTCGTCAGCGAGCATGGGGCACAGGTACGCCTCCAGAGGAAACAGTCCCTACATGGACACGCAGCGACTATCCACCGCCGACATGGGCATCGACAGCTTGATCAACCGTTCCGCCCGCCGGTAGAGCACAACCGCAGCCAGCCACCCACTCACTTCTCTTCACTTCACCATGGGCACACTGCTAGTCATGCTTGCCGCCTTTGTGCAACGTGCTAGCTTTTCTTTCACCCGTGTCCTTTTCCTCTTTTCCTAATAATTTGTTAAACTCTCCTTTAAAAAGATGCAATTTTCATCGATCTCATCTTCCCTCGCTCATTACAGGGTAGAATACTACGGCGAATGACCGAGGAGGCGTTATTGGATATATTGGCTCACGTATGGAGCTCTCTGCTGTGGTGGTGGGGGGACTATGAATGACGAGCGTTTGACGTTTCCATTGTTTTTAGAGCAGCGCAATCTTGCAATCTGAGGACCCGTGCAGTGGCGGCAAAGAAGCGATTTACCCGGTTCGCTGTGTATGTAGGGAGGGACAAGTCTTGGTCAGTGTATACTAGACGATAGATTTCGGACTTTTCTTTGTTTCAGGATTTCCGTGCCGCAAAGGGGCCCTACAAATTGATTAATATGCCGTTCTCACGTTGGGGCCCGTGGGCATGGCCCTGTTTCTAGGAATTTGTCTGGGATACGTACTTGGCTCAAAATTGAAGCTAGTTGTACATATTTCAGGGACTTGTAAACTCGATAACCTCTGATACGTGGCGGTCTAGCGCGGTGCCGGGCTACATGTAAACCAACAGGCGCAACAAAGGGCGTCCAGCAAGGCCGCTCGTCTTCACTCAGCCCTTTACTCTTTCTTTGTCCCTTCATTGATCGTCCCCGACCGATCCCCTTGCTTCACATGGATTTTCGAAATTTGTGCTGCCACATGGAGATGAAGGAGGCCATCTTTGTCCACAAACAGAAGGCTGTTTTTACACACTTTTCCATGTAAATTGTCCAGATAGTTGCCAGTCGATGTTGCTTGTGCGGACCAATCATGCAGCAGAACATATGGCATCCTTCCAGCCTAA